CTATGCGCTCCTCTACCACTGCATGTACAGCACCAGCATGCACTGGCCCCACAATGGCCCTGCAGGAGGGAGGGGCAGGGTCAGGTGGGCATGCCCTGTACTGCCCAGCCTCCCCAAATAATATTTTTTCCTGCTGCTTATGCTTACTGTTACATGTGATATCTCCTCTAAAACTAGATTATGAGTGCTTTGGGGAAGGACTAGATCTTTCATATTGTTCTTTAGGTCCTGATATAATATTAATGCTGCTAAGAATAAATAAGCCAGATTAAAAAAAAAAAATGTATGTAAAGATACAATATCCATTGCCAGTATATTCCTTACATTAGGGTCTATGGTTCAACCAAGAGCAGAGTCATATTTATTTATTTAGATTTATATCCTACCCTACCCAGAAAGGCTCTGAATGGCTTATAAGAAACAGCCTGGAAAATAAGAAACAACAACAATAGACTCGCCAGAACTTTAAAACTTCACTTTACCCTACCTGATTTTGCTTCCCTTTCTGTCATCCAGGAGGGCAAACCTTTCTGCCCACTCCAATCATACTTCCAGATCCCAATCCAAAAACAGAGTGGCAATGTAAAGAAACAATACAGACAACTAGAGTGAACAGCATGATGGAAGCAACCGTAGTGGTGGGTCTTTAGCATTTTTATGCATAATATTTCTTAAAAATCAGCCACAATAGGCCCCAGTTCAACAAAACACTTTAATGTATACAGGTTTCCCTTGATTTATGCTGTACATGCGTTCTCGGAGAACGGCGCATATATCAAATTTGCATAAAGTGAACCCACTTTACAATGTAACAAATAGGGATAGGTTCCTGAGGGAGGGAGGGAGGGAGTGAGGCTGGGATTAGGGAAGGGGCAGAGGGAGGGGTGCTGCTCCTGGGGCTGCACAAGGCAGCAAAGCAGAGGGAACAGAACGGCATTCACCCCAGCCCCGGCTGCAGCGGCCCCGGGAGTGACTGATGCCAGCTGTCTACAGTCACTGGGCTGCACCATGCTCCACCTGTTTCCACTCACCTCTGCTCCTGGGCTGGGCCATGCCCTGGTGCAGGCAGCTGGTGTCAGCTGCTTCCAGGGCCGCTGCAGCTGGGGCTAGGGTGAGAGCTACACCCTGCACCGCCCAGGCCTCTGCTTGTCTGCACTCACCATAGCCCGTGCTGGAGTGGCCACAGAAGCAGCGAACACCAGCTGCCTGCACCATGGCATGTTGTAGCCCAGGAGCTGGGGTAAGCCCAGGCATGGAGTGACAGGCAGAGCACGGCGTAGCTCAGCGGCTTCAGGCAGCTTGCACCGGCCACTCCTGGGGCCGATGCAGCTGGGACTGGGGTGAGTGGGGCCATGGCCCTTTTCCCTCTTCCCAAAAACTTACCTGTTTAGGTAGGGGGGCATCTATGCTGATCACATAAGAGTGAATTTACCTTGCATATAATGAATTATGGGTCTAAATATGCTCATTGCATAAAAGTGAGTTCTCATATAAAGAACCCGCATAAATTGAGGGAAACCTGTATTTAACTTTGATCTCAGTGAGCATTCTTTAAGGACCTGGAGCCTGTTGGTTCTTCCAATGTGGGATCACATATTGATTTCCAGAGAAATGAGAACCTGGTCTTTAAAAGTCAAGCTAGAAGGAAAAAGACACTAAGTGTATTTGGTTCTTCCTGCTTCCCCATTTCAGAACCATCAAATTTAGTTTATGAATCAAGGCTGAGGAATGAGGATATGTTTTACAAGGATTTATCCTTGTGTAATGTGCATGTAAGGTATGTAACAGAAGGAGGAACCAGTGGGCAGTCTGCAGAGCTGTGATGACTGTTAATTTGGACTACTCCCAGAAGACCCCAGGGGCTCAGGTCAAGAATAAAAATGAAGAGGAAACTTGAGGCTGGAATAAGGGGAGGAGAGAGCAGTGTGTACATGGAACCTGGTCAACCCTACACAGAGGAGTGAACAGTGGAGCTGGAGATCTCACTGGCTCTGTCAGCCAGGATTGTGAACTGAAGAGTTGGCTTTAGATTTGGGGACCAAACCAAATTTGCTGTTTGAGTGCTCTAGGGACTGAAGGGGTTTAGGATGTAGCCGTGTTGGTCTAAGGATATAGGCAGACAAGGTTCCTTGGGTGAATTTGATATCTTTTATTAGACCAACCCAAATGGTTGGAGAATAGTTATTAAGCAAGCTTTCCAGGAAGAGCACACACCAACTGCTACAGCTTCCTGAGCCTGACGAAGGGTTTTTGAACCCGAAAGCTTGCTTAATAACTATTCTCCAACCATTTGGGTTGGTCTAATAAAAGATATCAAATTCACCCAAGGAACCTTGTCTACTTAAATCATACCACACTTGTGTAATTAACTTTAGGCTCCTGGATCACTGCATAAGCTCAAGGGAACTCAAAGCTGCACAGAAGATTCAGTTTCAGGATCAAGGGGAAAGAAACACTGTCTAAATGGTGCTGGAGCATAATAACTTCTTTATAGACTTGCAGGTCTAGAGCAGTGGTTCTCAACCTTTTTCACACTGGGACCCATTAGCTTTACTATCAGCTTGCCATGACCCACACCCTTTCAGTCCCTTTTACTTTTCATTCCATCCAGGAAGAGCACACACCAACTGCTGCAGCTTCCTGAGCCTGACGAAGGGTTTTTGAACCCGAAAGCTTGCTTAATAACTATTCTCCAACCATTTGGGTTGGTCTAATAAAAGATATCAAATTCACCCAAGGAACCTTGTCTGCCTAGGGACTGAAGGCTTGTTTGGGGACACCTCTGGAGGAGTATGTGTGTGTGTGTGTGGGGGGGGGGGGGGGAATTAAGATGCTGAATATATCTTACCACAGTGTTGATATGTATTTACCTTTTAACTGTTCCCTTCCTTTGGTCTGTTGGCTTGTGACCCTGACCCCTATGATTTTCTGTATAAAAGTGGGAACTCCCCCTTGCTTCTTGTGCCAGTTAGTGGGCTGCGGGGTGGGCACACTTGTTTTACTTGATCATATACTTGGCAAAATAATTAAACGTGGCATTTTCCTCCTTAAATAGATATATCCTTATGCAGCTGAAACTGTTCTTTTCCTAACTTACCTTATATATCTATACTTATATCGATATCGATATCGATCTAAATCTATCTATAGATATAGATCTATATAGATCTAAAAATATAGATATATGTAGATATATATCTCTATATATAAAAGATAAGTTAGGTAAAGAACAGTTTCAGCTGTATAAGGCTCTATCTATCTATAACATACTGTGTAAGACCAAAAAGAAGTGAATATTAAAATGGTGGTCTTAGATTAAGGTAATCTCTCTGAACTATTTCTTTAATTTGGTCCTGCGTGGAAGTCTGTGGATTCAGGTTGTTCTAATCATACCACTCAATTAATGAGAGCGTACAAGTAAGAATAATATTAATAATAATTAATAAGTCTGTCTTTTCAGACAGTGTGTGGTCTACTGTCATCATGTTAGCAAGTTTACACTGTTTTGCTTATTTTGATTGGATCTCAATAACATAGTATAGGACAGCAGATGTTCTTGCTGTAATTCGATAGTCATTTCTACTCTGTATTTTCTAATTTGTATGGTAATCAAGGATAGAGGATTTGACAAGACCAAGGCCTCTGTCAGGCTCCCACCCCACTCTACCTCAGGGATCCCTGACCTGAAAAAAGAACAAACAGTTCTACAGTAAAGCTGCTTCATTTTGTGCTGTACCTTGTCCTCTTTAGTAGTGAGACTGAAGAGCACTGGGCAAAATCATTTGGACTGTTTTCCATCTTTGCCAAACTTTCTCTCTGATTGGAAAAATTGTTTTTAAACAGGCAGTAGAAACATATTCCTTGTGCATCAGTCTAATACAACTTATCAGGAATAGAAATCTATTGAAAGTAATAGTTTCTACTGTGACAGGCTGAAATACCCAGTAATTGTCAGCACCAAAAATCAAGAAGTGTCAGCTGTAATGACTGAGAAGAATGCAGCTCACAGTGACAGGGAATGGGTACCATTAGAACATAGTCTTAAACATACTTACACATTTTTAAATGACAATTTTTAAAGTGAAACTTACCAGGGACCTAACCTGAGTTAGAGCCTGTATAGATATACAATGCAGATAGTCAATTGTTTCTTGTCAATGTTTTAAAATAATTTTAAATGTTCAACATTTTAAAATTATATGGTTTTGGTTTTTTCACAGCCCCAAAGTGTGGCAGATCCTTGAATGATATTGTAATCCTTGAGATAAGAATTTTTTAGGGGTGATATCTTTTATTGCACCAATTGTGTAGTTGGGAGAGGTCTTTAAGTAAGCTCTTGCACTTTATGCTCAAAAACTTGTCTTAGACCTGTTCCAGTTATATAGTTGATCTAATAAAATATATCACTCCCCTGAAACATCTTTGCCTTTCACATATTTCCTCTATCATCATGGCTACAACATCATTCCAACATTACCACACTTGTAATCCTTTTTATTCTGAGGGTCATTACAGTACTTTGCAATTAGTTAATCCTCACAGCAGCACAATGAATGAGTTAGGTAGTATTTTATTTATTTTTCCAGCTTGGATAAACTAAGCATGAAGAGGATAAGTTATGCTAGTTTACATACATTAGTGGCTGATAATAGAATGCAAGAGTCTTGCCATCTCTCTTCTGTGGACAATAAAACTGTAGTATCATTCTTTTTTTATTACATAATTGTGATCATTGTGTTTTTAGGCCACTTTAGTATAACTTATTGAAAGCAAAACCTAGCATGGAAGCATAGGTTCAGTCTTATCTACATATCCACTGTCAACGTTTTTGTATGAAAGCATAAGCATATCCCTAGTGTGCCTTTTTTGGGCAGAGATATTCAATTCCTTGTGATTAGAGCTGTCAGTGAGACATTTAAAATAAATCATTATAGAAACTTACATCTGCGTTCATCTTTTTTGATTTATAATTGTTTTTTCTTTTTCCTCTGGATTTACAGGGCACAATGACTACATGTGTCCTGCTACTAATCAGTGTACCATCGACAAGAACAGGAGAAAGAGCTGCCAAGCTTGCCGACTACGAAAGTGCTATGAAGTGGGAATGATGAAAGGTGGTATGTACACAGTGATTTAACACAAGATTTTAGCAAAGATGGCTGGTTAACTTAATGCCCTCTAAGTTCACTGGACAATTGACACAGCTCCTGGTGAAAATAGCGAATAATTCTATGGGACTAAAGTAGTGAATATAAACAACCCCATAGTGAGAGCTTTGGTCTCATTGAAATCAATGGGAATTTAGCCACTGACTTCACTGAGGGTCACACCTCATAACAATTAATTTATTTTCTGGATTTGTCTGGTTCTAGGTTATCATTAATGAAATTTAGCCCAGATTTCAAGTCATTTGTAGTATTCCATTCAGTATTTTGTATGGAATAAATTTATAGTCTTCACTCAGTTCCTACTGGGTAGGTGGCTCCTTTCTAAAGCAAGCTTTCTAGTTGGTTCCTGGAAGACAGTTTTTGAGGCTAATGAATGATGAATTACCTTGTCAGATATGCAGCATATTGTTAGGGCCATGTGGAGAGCCCAGCTGCTTACTGTACTTGCTCTGTGGATTAAAATGAGTCTCCACCTTCAGAGCTGCCATTATAGCTCTGTACCAGTGGGCAGTGCATCTGAATTAATTCCTGTAATACTGGGGGAATGATTTTAACCTCACATATACAGTGCTAAATTGCAAAGAATTGTTTAGAAGTCATTGGTCATATATTAGTGCAACAGTGACATTGGAAGAGAATTAGCCCCCAAAAACTAAGACAGAATCCTGCACATCCCCAACACAGCTGTACTAGCAATGTAAATTATTTAGAAGGAAAATAAGGAGTAGGGGAGGTTGAAGCCACCACTGGGCTGGACCGAGAAGCCTTACCTGGGATCCTGGGGACCTCCCATGGCTGCAGCAGTGGCAATCCTACCGTGCAAAGCCTGGCCAGCAGCTGCAACATAGTTCTGGCTGGCCAGGCTCTGGTTTTGAGTGGCGCATGCTGCTCCAATGCGTGCTGCTCAGCTTTTTTTTTCTGCAGGTTTTTTTGACTCTTGAATATCCAGGGGTCAAGCTCCCCCCTTCCCTCCCTCCCAAAGCACAGAGAACAACTGAATGTGTGGTATGTGTTGCTGCAAGCATGTCTTAATGAAAATATATTTCAAAGTAACTTTTATTAATTGAAAACATCTATTTTAATGCAATCTGGTAGAAATTTTTAAGCCTCCCTTAACATTGGTTTAAAAATTTCAGTATTTATGACCAATTTTATTGGAAAGTTATCCCAATTCTTGACAACAGAAAACCCAAGTTGAGGGTTCACCTTAATATAGGCAAGTCTTAGGAGATGTTTGGGGAAAAAAATGTTTAAGGAGATGGTGAAGAATCTGATGTCTTCCAGTGAAATTTCCTGCTCTCCACTTACAGTGGTAATCTGAAACCTGTGGGTTCCTGTTGGATTCATCATTACTGGATGTAAGCTAGTTTTTGAAGTGAGAAATGGCTTCTTCTATGCCAGGGTCAGGCAATTATATCAGGCAGAGGGCCGCTTAGCGAGTTGTGGCAAGCTGTTGAGGGCCGCATGGGTAGCCCCGCACCTTGACAGGTGCCCTGTCCCCTGGTCACCATCTTGGGACCAGAAGTCCCACCCCTGACCTCTGACCCTTGCCACCAGAAGTCCCTCCCCTTGCCTGTGGAAATACTCCTTCATGGAAGAGGGTTTACTATCTTAGAACCGGAAAAAAGACAAATTATGTACTAAAAATCAAATACCCATAATATTATATTTAAAGTCAATTAAAAAAAAAATATTTTTGTCCTGATATGTGTGTGTTTCTGCTTTATATGTAGAAGTGATAGCATAATAGCTCAAATGCAGTCTTACTCTTGCATAGTGTGTGGGGTGTGCAGGGGTGTTGGGGGGTATGGGTGCGTGGGTGGATGTGGGGTTTGTGGGGAGTTGTGGATATGTGTGTGTGTGTATGGTATTTGTGGGATGTGTGGAGGAGGGTGTGGCTGTGGGGTTTGTAGGAAGGGTTTGAGGGTATGTGAGGTGTGCATGGGAGTGCCCTGTGCACTCCCCACTGAGCTGGTCAGCACCCGGCCCTGCTCAGCAATAGCCTAGATCCCAAGGGCAAGCTTCTGGGTCCCTGGTGTGCAGGGGGGCCCAGGCCACCCCCTCGATGTGGTGTTGTGCCCTGGGGCTGGCCACGGGGGGAGCCAGCTCGGCCCTTTCTGCCCGAAGCCTCATGGCTGCGTTTACCCTCTGGTGGCCCCTGCTGCTGCCAGGAGACCAGGGGCCACTGGGGAAGGGTCTGTCAGGCCTGGAGGACAGTGCAGGAGGCTCCTGGAACTGCTGGGGGTGAATGAGCCGGCAGGAACATGGTCCAGGGCACAGGGAGGCAGTGTGGAACTTGCATCACATGCCTGAGGATTGGGGCAGCAACAGCCTGTCTGTGCCCCCCACCCATGGCCAGGGGGGTGCCACTGCCCAAGGGGGTAGGCCCAGCACCCCCACCCCACAGAGGCCCAGTGGTCTGGCGGTAGCTTGCCTCCCAGCCCTGGAATGGGTGGGGAGGCTGCACTAGGAGTTGGAGTGGAGCCACAGTCACTTTTCTGCTTCAGAAGCTCCTGCAGCTTTCAGGAGGCCCGGATCCTGGGGAAGCTCCTGGCTGGCCCCAGAGGCAGTGCAGGGGGCCACCTGAGGCTGCTGGGGGTGGCATGACCCAGAAGAGATATGGCCTAGGATGCAGAAAGCTGGGGGAGGTGGAGCAGAAGTTGCATCCCATGCCTGAGGCTTGGGATGGCAATGGTCTGGCTGCCGCCCCCCATGGGTGGCCCTGGCAAAATGCCGCCACTCTGGGGGGAAGGGCTACCCCCCCACCCCAAAGGGGCCCTTTGACAGCTCACCTCCTGGCCTCAGCAGCTGGAGCAGAGCTGCAGACATAGCCACAGCCGCTTTTTTTCTCCGGAAGCTCCTGCAGCCTCCCCGGGCTTCCCACACCCTGGGCTGGGACCCTGCCAGGTCATGCCACGCTCAGCAGCCTCAGGAGCAGGCAACCTGTGCTGTCCCCAGTGCCAGCCAGGATCTTCCCCAGGATCCCTGGGCTCCTCGCAGCTGCAGGAGCTTCTAGAGCAATAAAGCGGCCATGGCTCTGCTCCCGCTCCTGGTGCAGCCACCCCGCCTGTCCTGGGGTTGGGGAGCGAGCTGCCACCAGGCCCCTGCAGAGCAGGGGACCCGGGCCATTACCCCTGGGGTGCCAGCACCCACTAAAGCCTCTCATGGTGGGAGAAGCCAGGCCATTGCTGCCCCAAGCCTCAGGCACATGATTCAAATTCTGCGCCACCTCCCCGCACTTCCCACGCCCCAGGCCAGGTCCCCACTGACTTGTGCCACCACCAGTGGTCCCAGGCACCCCCTGCACTGCCCCCAGGGCTGGACAGGGGGTTGGGAGCCAGTGACAGCTGGGCAGTGCCCCGGCAGGGCACAGAGCAGGGTGTCAGGAGTCCGGGGTGCAGCTGGCTGGACTCTGTGGAGCTGGGCTGGCATGCCAAAGCAGGGAGAGAGGGGAGCCATCCCACTCTGGGCCCCACTGGTGCTGGCCCCAGAACACCAGCACTGGCTCCCGCACGCTCCCTTGCTCTCAGCCCTGTGCCCTAGCCCCGTGGTCAGGCAGGGACCAGCGTACACAGCCCCGATCCCGCTCTTACCTGAGTTTCCCACTCTGGCACAGCTGGGAACAGCCCCATGGTCCTAGGCCAGAAGCCCCTGCTAGGTAGGTCCTAGGCAGGGGCTTCTGGCTGGGGCGGGAGTGGGGCCAGGCAGGCCCTGCTCTTCCAGGGGCCTGCCGTGGCTTCCCTTGGGTCCTGCTGCCCCTGTCTCAAGTAATTTTTGATGGGAGCCAGAGGCAAATAAATAGTAATTAAAAAAAAAAAATTAGGGGCTCTGTGGGCCAGACAGAATGGCCTAGTGGTCTGGATCCAGCCCGTGGGCCATATTTTGCCCACCCCTGTTCTATGCTGTACCAGAAGGAGCTAATTTTCTTCTTAAATGAGGATCTGGGTTCAGTGAACCTTGTGTGTGTTACCTACAGAATGGATCATGGTACCCATCTGTAACTGGATCCAAAGCTAAGGGCATTACAGCTTGTTTTGTGTAAAATACAGCTGTCCACCTCTTTAATAGGAAGAATAACTGAGAACTTATTGTATTCTTAGTACTGGGCTCCACTGACTTCCATTTTCTTTTTGGTGTTAGTTCAAGGTTTTAGCCTGTAATGTATTTAGGCCTGATATAACAGGAACAGCTGAAGACTCATGCTACTCTGGTACATTTCAAGTAATTAATCAGTGCACTCCCTTCATTGCACATAACTAATTAGGGAAATCTAGAGGTAAGGCTTTCCTGGTCAAAGGCCTGTCGGGAATGACCAATTGAAAGGGATGAGACTGAGCCAAAATCTTTTTTCAGGACACATGGGAAAAAGTAATGTTTTTAGCAGAAAACTTCTTATGATGTGAGTCCTAACCCTTGACTAGGACTTCTGGGTGCTATCTGAATATAAATTACATGATGATAACAAAAGACAGGAAAAATGAAAGACAGAGGGGGAGAAAGAGAGTGAGTGAGCAAGCAACATGCAGAGGAACCCAGAATACTTAAATGGCAAAGCCCATTATAGACAGCTTTTCAAACCTTAGTTACATACAGTGCAATCATGAATGATTGCCTCAGGTGAGGTAAATCTCCTCTGTGTAGGGTTGATTGGACAGTGACTCTACTGTCTTTAGTAGAGCCACTGTACTGATTCTTTGGAGAGGAACTGAATTTTTTTAGCTCTGATCCATGAGTATCAAATTAGGATCCCCTACATTTTCATTCACAGCAGAAACTCCAATTATAATGATGGGAAACTTAGTTTCCATAGAAAATAATAATTTAGTGAGTATTCTGTATAAGCATGTTGGTAGTTTCAGTATCACACAATAAAATGTCTCCCTCTTTAGACATGCCGATTATGTTTTATCTGTCTCTTCCTCTTCCTTATGCTTTTTCTCTCCTTATTT